CGTACAGCACTCACTAAAAAAACAAATTGTTGAGAATTGTATAAGCTTTAACGTCATGGAATCGGTTTTTAATAAAAAAAATTTTTCTGGTCCGTACACGTTGCCCAATTTGGGGAAATTTTTTTATTTTCGGATTGATCCGTTCAATAAAGGATAACTCAGTTAAAAATGATGATACAGGAGTTTTCTTCGAAGATTCAGAAACTAGAAGATTCAAGCTTCAAAACGCTTTTTTAAAATAATTTTTTTCGTCTATTGTTCGCGGAGATACAGCCGGTCAGAAAACACCCAAAAATCGACCCGAAATTTTCTATCCTTTAATTTACACGCGTAGTGTATATTATTAAGGTTATTACGCTGAGAAATGTTGTGAAAGTTTTAGCCGGCACTCGCTGTTTATTAAAAAGCTGTTAATAAAATAAGTTTAATGAATAGCACGTAATTTTCTGACACTATGTCTATCTGTACACTATACGTTTTCATATTATATTGTTTCCTGAGAGTAGATTGTTTTTGTTTACCTTTCTTATTGAAATCAATAAATCGAAGGATAATTTGCTTCTATGTTGTTAAAATAAGTTTCACAAATTACACCTAATTTTCGAATGCCAATAAGGACTTATTCATAAATAAGAGATACAGAAGTAATTTTTCGTATTGCTCCAGCTTAGAAATTTCAATGAAAACTCATTACACTGTTGTAATAAAAGTTTTCTTCTTGTTTGTGTTATATACGTATTGTCAGACACACGGTTTTTGATGCGAATTCGTAGCTTCAACATGTTACATGAAGTCCTTCATTTGACAATACATTTACTATAATGAAGATTCTATATTAATTCTTAATTATTTATTTAAAATGCAAGTGATACGACGAGACATTGATGCCAAAAAATAAATATGTAATTGTTTATTTCGATATTCAGAGCATTTTCACAATTACGTTTATTTACGTATAGTAAATTAAATGCGAGAGTGGGGCGGAGTCTTTCCCTCTGCACCCTACTTCTAAATGTGTCCGAAAATTACGTGTAATTCGTGACTTATTTTGTTTATAACTTTTTAATAAACAACGAACGCCAGCTAAAACCTTCATACCCATACAGCACACAAAAATTGCATACACATTGCATCAATCTTTCGCAATGTTGCAATATTGCAAATTTACTGCAAAATGTTGTTGCATCATTGCTGTGGGACTGCAACAACGTTAAAGTGTCCACCTTTAAAAAGATTGTAACGAAATATTACAGTAATATTGCAATGTAATGAATTTGCAATAATGCATTGTTATTACAATCTTAGAATAATGTTGTATATAATTTTATTTATTCGGACATTTATCTGTCCGATTTCTGAACAATTAGTTCAATATCTGAATTCCCTGTGTTAGGGTCGTATCAGAAAAATTTAACTGATAAAAATAATTACTAAGGTCTTTAACCTTACTAGTCACTCTTTGGAAGTTTTATATCATCATGACTAAAACTTAAATACGAAATAGATTTTGCAACGCGCGTCGCATAACGGTAAACGAACTATCCAGGGAGAAATACAGGTCAAAGAAACGTCTAATAGACATCTAATAGACATCTATAGACAATGTCTATAGACGTTTCTTCGACCTGTATTTCTCCCTGGATAGCGATTACCGAATATTGCTCTTGTAATGTTTTTACAATGTTGCTGTCACATTCTCATGAAATATTACAATTCAATGTTCCAATAATCTCTCAACAATATTACATTGCAACTTGCAAGATTGTAACATTGCTGCAATGTAAATGCAATGTTTTGTGCTGTATGGGTAGTATTCAATAATGACCTTGATAACATATATAAAAATTATTAAAAATTGAAGGTGGCTCTCTAATTATAAATAATTACTAAATGTCTTATACATTAATATAAATTTATACCATTTATGCAAACATGTATTAATAATATTCATATAATATAATATGTTAGTGACACGACTTGTTAGATTTACCTTAAAAATATTAAAAAAAGTTTTACAAATTAGTCTCATATATTATTAACTGTGATACATAATTCATATAAAGTTAATTGAAAATTTCGTAATTTCTGTGCAATGTTGCAATATTGCAATAAAATATTTTTGCAATGTTCCTGAAATCTTTCTGTACCGTATAGGATAATGTTGATCCATCGCGTTTAAAAATAATATAATAAAATAATAAAGAAACAAAAGCAAGTTTTTTTTAATATAATAAATTTCGTTTCTTCGATTTCAAGATGCAAATTTTGATAAAATCAATAATAAGATCTTATTCATACTTACAATTCATACCGCAAATAAACTTTTTATAAAAATATGTATAAAATATTATTAAATAACACATAAAAAACAAGCTATTATGTTATTACTAAGTTCAGAATTTACGATTTTTTATTTATTACTATAAAGCTTTTGACAATTAATTTTTTGACTAATGTTATAATTATTTATATTATGTATAAAAAAAATATTGTAAAATATCAAAATATTAACATAATTATTAAAAAAAAACTTATAAAATATTTATTTTACAAATATTATTGTAACAAACTTTATCATATGTGGAAACTTAAAACAACAAATCAGTAAAAGTATGTCATATGACAGCTTGTTTTATATGTATCGGATAATAATATCACATCAATATTTTTACATAAATGTTATGAATAATAGATATTTACTATTAAGATATGTACATACACATATAGTAATTATTATTTATATAGAGGATGTCACACTTTGGGTGCACCGTGCACTGTAATAGCACATTGCAGAAATTATTTTGAAATGACAATCCTAATATCAAAATGTGGCTATAATAATTTTTAAATGGAAAACTAATCTGAATATATCTTCATTTCTGTGCGATGTGCCTAAGCGCGCGAACTGGAGCAACTTGATTGATCAACTAAATGTTTCCCATTTAAAAATTATAGCCTCAACATTTTGATATCAGAATTGTCGTAGTCATTTAGTATTAAAATTTTCATCTGAAAATGATTCAGGAATGTGCCATTACCGTACAATGTGCTCAATGCGGGACACCTTGTCTTCAATGTCAATGTTAGAAAAAAATTAATATGAATGCTTTTATCATCATGTTGTACTATATTTCAGCATCTAAACTTTAATTTATTAACGGTGATAAAGAAAACAATAAGAACCAGAAGCATGGTTTTCGGAACACAAGAACGATTAACCATTATAAATTAATAACTTATATTAAATGTGTAAATTAACTCGGTCTCTTTTTTGTGAAAAAAGTTTTGTGAAAAAATTACAAAAAAAGAAAATGATTTCATGGATCATTCCTAACTGCTCAGAAAATTCTTTTTGAATTTGTGTGGAGTCTTATTTGAATTGCAATTTCTCATCTTTAAATTTGTTTGGTTGAACGTGGTTCATCATTCAAATTATAGTTTTCTTTACGAAATCTTTGATTGCTTTGATTTGCATTTCTTGCATGTTTTATGATACAAGAGCCTTCTCCAAATCATATCGGCCCCGTACAAATCATATTGACAACTTCAGCAGTATTTTTTTTTAAATTAAAGTGCAAAAGGAATGCAGTGCCTGATACATCCGTTTTATCCATGGTCATCGTACTTATTGCTGGTTTTTGAGATTGTATAATTTATTTTGCTGTATTAGTATTTAGTGATCATAATTTACAATTTCTTAAAACCATATTAGAACAGAAAAATAAATAATTTTACGAGTTACTAGCAATAAGTAAAATTAAAGACACCAAATTAATTCACACACCTAATACAAAAAAACGTTTTGGCTACAATTTGTGAATCGATATTTAGTTTGACAGAACATGAAAAAAAATAGATTTAGATAACATAGAAAAAAACAATTAATGTAGCAAAAAACGAACTCACCAACTGCTATGCTCAGTACTGCCAAGTGCATGTCAGAATACAGTTAATGAAATATTTTTTTACGTATTAATTTATAATAGTCAATAATTTTTGCACTCTGACAACCACATTTTTAATTCTTATTGCTTTTTCTATCAGTTTATTTTTGAAAAACCATATTTTAGTTTTAAACTCTATAATTTGTTAATATTAAAATTTTTTATCTATAAGTATAAGAGATACAGATGAGATTTAACACACACAGCAATATGAACGAGACACAGTGTAAGTTTGTTTCCATTCCAAAGAAATACAAAAAGAAATGGACATATAAAGATTGCAAACAAACGCAAGAAAAAATGGACACACATAGATTAAAAACAGACACAGTTTAAATTGTCCAATTTCCCACATAAAGTGAGAAACCATCGCATATTGACCAGTGTTTTAAGTAAAAAATGAGATCTATAATTCTATTATGGATTTGCTACTCACATATAAAGCAAGATATTATTAAAATTGTGTCCATTTGCAATTTCTATGTTTCCATTTCCTTCTGTGCCTGTTTGTAGCATTTATATGTCTGTTTCTTCTTGTGTTTGTTGGCTGTCCAGCTTATACTGTCTGTCTTGTTCCTATTGCTGTGTTCGTTAAATTCCGGACTTCACTTAAAAAGTGTCATAATCTCAATATTTTAATAAAGAATTTTATCTTTAAATTAGCCGAAGAATTTGTTAATATCTATTAATGTAAAAGTAATATTATCTAGTAATGTAGAAGTAATACATTTAGAGATAAAAAGACTAAAGTAATACTTTCTTTCAATGGATTTAAAAGAATACTTAAAAATTGCGAGAATTTTGCTATATTAATCTTACGTTGTAAAATCTATTTAAAAAATGATGATATTTCACTCTTAAAAAAAACATGTAAAGTCGATTACTCGCATATATCGAAATTTATTGTCGTCGCTTTTCCGCGACGCTGATTGGTTATCGCGATTATTCTGACAGTTTGATAGTTTGAGAGCAAAGGTTATTTTGACGGTTATTTAAAATTATACAAAATTTTATTAAAATATGTAATTTCATAATTATTAAATTATTATAAGTGCGCGTGCGTAGTGCGCGCCTGTATTGTTCTAGTTTATCTTTAAATGTGTAAAATTTTGTTTCTTCTTTAAAACATTTGAAGTGCTATACACTCAAGTAAAAAACATGATATAAGATATCGTATAACAGTCTTAAGATGTAAAATATTGTACAGCAAGTCCTAAAGTTATAAGCATTATTGAAAGAGTAATATTCTCTGCATTATTGCATCTATGATCAAAGTAACAAAAGCACCAAGTGACTTCATCATAATAATCACGATGAATATCTAATTGATGGATACTATTATTGACATAATGTCCTAATCGTACATCTTTAGCAGCAGGTCTGCAACCCTCATAATGATCTGCAGGAATATCTGTCCTAAAACTACGTACAGCGCTTAGACATTCACGTGTAATGATAGTTTCGGCTAAAAAAATTTATAATTATTATATATATGTAAATACTATTATATGTAGATATTTTTACAACATCTCAAGATTTTACAACATGACCATGATATTTGATCCCGTAATAAATGAACTAATAATCACCTCCTTTTCGTTCAATTATTTTCACGCATTTATCATCGTATTCTGGACAGGTTTCTCCCCAATACCACAACCAATTTAAAGGTGTTCCACATCCAGGATGATTACTGTTACATCTATAACAGTATAAGGTACTATTGCCTGTAATTAGAATATTATTATTTCAAAGTGATATCCTAACCTGAAATGATTCAACCACGCCCTTTTATATCAAAGTAAAGTAATATACCTTGACTCGCCAAAATCATCAAGGAAAAAAGTGTGTACAAAATCTTTCTCATTGTTAGTCTAGTGAGATATTTATATTTATGTAACGTTTGCTAATATAAACAATTTTGTTTACAAATAAAATAAAACCTATTTCAGACAACTTCACACACTTTAGGTTTATTCTTTGTAGCTGAACTTTCTGTACTAGTGCAACAAGTGTACACTGGTTGCGTTCCGTTTCGCACATTATGCGCACGAATTACATAGAAAACGTTCCGTTTCACTCAATGCGCGCATGAAACGCGCTTAGAATTCCCTAGATCCCCACCACCTGCAGGGCATAATACACGCATCAGCTACCTCAAGTTTGAGTTGCAGCAGCTTATTGGCCGGAGCACAGACTTTTGCATAAAGCATAATCGCATAAGCATAAGGAATATTGATTGGTCCATTTCCTTATGCATTTGATTATGCTTATATATAGACCAATCAATTTCCTTATGCTTATGCGTTATGCTTTATGTATAAGCTTGTGCTCTCGGCTTATGCGTTCCATGCGATTGCGTAATTGCATATAGGCAATTGATAGCGATATTGTAAAAAGTGTACAAAATAGGAAGAGTCATAATGGAAGAGTCATTGATGATTCACTACTATTACTGTCACCCATTTCATCAATTAAAAACATTGTCACATTGATAGCGCAATTTATTGTGGAATCAATTTTGATTTTCCGCTTCTAATGCGTTCAATATCGTTCCGTTTCAAAGCATGTATCATGCGCATAATGAAACGAAACGCAGCCAATGCGCTAAGCATTAGCGATGCGAACGATGCGGGCTATGCGCAAAACGGAACGCAACCACTGAAGCATTCTTGCTAGCAGAAATGACGTCAGATGGTGCTGTTTTTTGGGTGTTGTAGGATTACATACATATCCAACCATATAGCCGAGAGCACAAGCTTTTACATAAAGCATAACGCATAAGCATAAGGAAATTGATTGGTCTATATATAAGCATAAGCAAATGCATAAGGAAATGGACCAATCAATTTCCTTATGCTTATGCGTTATGCTTTATGCAAAAGTCTGTGCTCCGGCCATTAGCATGTAACTAGATTATCGATCTCTCGAACTCACTCTCGAAGACTCTCGAACTCTAACGAGAGTCAAGCAATTATTATTATCAACAAGAACACATAACAACAACGTAGTTATTATTATTATTCCTACCGTGTATCTCAGTGCTCGGAATTATTTCATCTTTTCAGCCGATTCTCGTGGTATACGCCTCCTTTCCTCTCTTCACCGCGCGCGCGACAGCCGCAAGGGCCCAAGATCTATAGAGAGAAGGTTACCTCATGCGCAAAGAGGGACGAGCGGCAAGAGGGGAAAATGCAGAGAGGGACGAGCGGCAAGAGGGGCAAATGCAGAGAGGGGCGAGCGGCAAGAGGGGCAATGATGATCTCATCGGCGAACAGAAGCTATCTCAGACAACTACTGTTTGTCGATGAGATCATCATGCTCTCCCCTTCCTTCATTACCCCTCGCCATC